GCCTCTACCATGATTCCTCGGAAGGAGTGTGATCCGGGAGGTTTTGTGATCAAGATTACCTTGGGAAACGGCAAGGAGACGAATGGCATGCTCGATTTGGGAGCCAGTATAAATCTTATGCCTTATTCTATCTTCCAACAATTGGAGCTCGGAGATCTTAAGCCAGCGAGGATGTGTTTGCAATTGGCGGACCGCACTCTACGATATCCGAAGGGTGTTATCAAAGACATTTTGATTCGGGTAGGCAATTTGATAGTCCCGGCGGACTTTGTGGTGCTTGATGTAGGAGAAGTTCCGAACACCGGAAATGAGCACACCATCCTACTCGGTCGACCTTTTATGGCCTTTACCAATACCCTTATCAATGTCAAAGATGGTCGTGTCACCTTATCGGCTCTCGGTGAAACGGTTACATTCACTATGAACGAAGAAAAGACAATACCGTTGGCCACCGAGAATTGTTCTTACGTAGATGTGATCGAGGAGGAGGTCCACAATCTTTTTCATGCCGAAGTTTCATGTGAGTGTGACATTCCTAATGATGATGTGCCCAAGGAGCTTGATCCTGAAGAAGAAGGAGTTGTGGATCTCTTCGAACTATCCAAAGAACCCGAGCCCCGAGAAATTTCAAGTGAACTCAAACCGCTACCACCACACCTCAAGTATGTTTTCCTTGAAGACGGAGAGAAGAAGCCTGCAATCATTTATTCGGGTCTTTCGAAAGAGGAGGAGGACCTACTCGTGGGGGTCCTTAAGGCTAACAAAGATGCTCTTGGGTGGAGTTTGAGCGATATCAAGGGGATAAGCCCGGCTACATGTATGCATCGAATCATTCTCGAGGATGAGACGAAGCCTACTCGAGAGGGACAAAGGCGATTGAACCCGACGTTGATGGAGGTTGTGAAAGGAGAAATCCTCAAGTTGATGCAAGAAGGTATTATCTATGCCGTGGCAGTTAGTGAGTGGGTTAGTCCCGTGCACGTCGTCCCGAAGAAGAGTGGAATCACGGTGGTGGAGAACAACAAAGGCGAACTCGTGCCTACGAGGACTACGACGGGGTGGCGGATGTGCATCGATTTCCGGAAGCTCAATGCCGCCACGAGGAAGGACCACTTCCCTTTGCCGTTTATTGACCAACTCCTCGACAAACTAGCCGGCCACCCTTTCTATTGTTTTCTTGATGGATTGTCGGGGTACTACCAAATCCCGATCGCCCCGGAGGACCAACCGAAGACCACCTTTACATGTCCCTTTGGCACCTTTGCCTTTCGGAGAATGCCGTTCGGGCTTTGCAATGCCCCGGTACTTTTCAAAGGTGCATGTTCTCTATCTTTTCGGACATGATTGGTGAATTTATTGAGATATTTATGGATGATTTTTCCGTCTTTGGTGATTCTTTTGTTGATTGAAACGATGCATTGAGAGTAATTTGACTCTTAGTTGGGAAAAATCGCATTTCATGGTTCCTAGTGGGATCGTTCTAGGTCATGTCATTTCCTCTAAGGGAATCGAGGCCGATAAGGCCAAAATTGATGTGATTGAACAACTTCCTCCCCCTCTTAATGTGAAGGGTGTTCGAAGTTTTCTAGGGCATGCCGGTTTTTATCATAGATTTATAAAAGACTTTTCGAAAATTGCCCGTCCTTTATGTGCTTTGCTTGCATTAGATGTGCCTTTTGACTTTAATGATGAATGCATGAATGCCTTTAATGAGTTGAAGCGTAGGTTGGTTACGGCTCCCATTGTGATGCCCCCGAATTGGTCCTTGCCTTTTGAAATTATGTGTGATGCTTCGAATTTTGCGGTAGGGGCTGTCTTAGGTCAAAAGGTTGAGAAAAGACATCATGTGATTAGTTATGCTAGTATGACTTTGAACGAGGCTCAAGTGAACTATACTAGGACCGAGAAGGAATTCCTAGCAATTATCTTTGCTTTAGAGAAATTTCGTGCTTATATTGTGGGATATAAGGTTGTAGTTTATAGTGATCATGCGGCCTTGAGACATTTGCTAGCTAAAGCTCAATCTAAACCTAGGTTGATTCGTTGGGTATTACTATTGCAAGATTTTGATGTGGAAATTTTAGATCGCAAAGGATGCGAGAATGTTGTTGCCGATCATTTATCATGCCTTGTATTACCTTCGAATTCTTGTGATATGCATGACCTTAATGATTCATTTCCTTATGAGCATGTTTTTGTTGTCGATTGTGTGCCTTGGTATGCCGATATTGCTAATTATTTGGCTAGTGGTATTTTGAATGATGACCTATCCTTCCAAGAAAGGAAGAGATTCCTTGCTATATGTAGGTACTTCATGTGGGAAGATCCTTATCTTTTCCATCTTGGGAAGGACGAGGTCATTAGGCGGTGTGTGCCCGAGAAGGAACAACGAGCCATTCTAACCGCGTGCCACTCGTCGAACTGTGGAGGCCATTAAGGTACTACAAAGTGGATTTTATTGGCCCACGATATTCAAAGACTCTCACGTCTTCTCCACTTCATGCGACTGGTGCCAACGTTCGGGAAATATTGGGCGAAGGAACGAGATGTCACTTAATACGTTTTTTTCGGTTGAAATTTTTAACGTGTGGGGAATTGACTTCATGGGGCCTTTTCCAATCTCTCATGGATTTGAGTACATCTTAGTCGGAGTGGAGTATATTTCGAAGTGGGTGGAAGCCATCCCAACTCGGAGTTGTGATGCCAAGGTCGTGGTGAAATTTGTTCAAGACCATATCATCAACCGTTTCGGTTTTCCTCGAGCGATCATTAGTGATGGAGGTTCCCACTTTTGCAACCGGATTTTCAAAAAGCTCATGGAGAAGAATGGGATAGCTCACAAGGTTGCCACGACTTACCACCCTCAAACTTCCGGGCAAGTTGAAACGAGCAACAAACAAATCAAGGCTATTCTTGAGAGAACCGTGAATGCTTCTAGACGTGATTGGTCCCAAAAGCTCGGAGATGCATTGTGGGCACATCGAACGGCATACAAGGGTGTTCTTGGCACGAGTCCTTTTCGTTTGGTGTATGGGAAGGCTTGTCACCTTCCGGTGGAAGTTGAGCATAGAGCCTATTGGGCTATCCATGTCCTAAATTTCGAGCTTGGTGTAGCCGGTAAGGAACGACACTTGAAAATCAATGAGTTGGACGAGTTGAGGAATGAGGCATATGAGAATGCCCGGATTTACAAAGACAAAGTCAAGAGGTGGCATGATTCGAAGATTCTACGGAAAGAGCTCACGCCCGGGATGAAGGTACTTCTTTTTAACTCGAGGCTGAGATTGTTTCCCGGTAAGTTAAACTCAAGGTGGAGTGGTCCGTTCGAAATCGAGGAGATATTTCCGTCCGGGGTGGTTAAGCTTCTCAATCTAACCGATAAGACATCTTTTAAAGTGAATGGACACCGGGTGAAACCATATATCGAGGGAGAAGCCAAGGAAGTCCGAGTGCTCTACTCCCGGCTCGAGGAGCCAACTTATTCATGAATTGACGGTTATGTCGAGCTCACGACATAAAACGAGCGCTTCGTGGGAGGCAACCCACGTTTCTATTTTTGTTTTCTTCTTTTTTTCATCTTTGATTTTGATCTTTTATTTTCTTTCATTTTCTTTCCTCTTCTTTTATATATATATAAAAAAAAATGGAGTGCTCGTGCCGACTTGATCGGCAGTACCGANCGAAATTGAGTTTTTATTATGTCCATAAATTAAGTTGAAATTTTTGAGTGAAAATTATCAAAATATGCCTAACTGTTGAAATTCCATAAATTCGAGGGCTCTAATTCGAATTCGCCAGATGGGGGCATTTTCGCTAGTTGCACCTCTTGGACAGAGGCTAAGAATCATTTTTTTCGAGTGCTCGAAATTAGGTTCGCAAGATAGCTCAAATTCGCTGGATACATAAGAAAGAAGCTCTTGGACAGCGGCTAAGAACCAGTTTTTCGAGTGCTCGAAATTAGGTTCGCAAGATAGCTCAAATTCGCTGGATACATAAGAAATAAGTCAACAAGTCAAACCCTAGTTTTTTTCTCTCTCTTCCCTCACGCCCAAATCGCAGCTCTTTCTTCTCTCTCGCATCTCAAACACCCCGCTCATCTCTCTCTCTCCCGACGCCCCTAACTCCGACGACCGGCGACCAGCTCCCTCCGGCGACGCAACGACGCAGCGGCGCGACCTCCGAGCCCAGCGACCCCGTTCCGTCCGATGGCTGACGAGCTCCGACTCCACTCCGGCGATTCGAGCTCCCCGCGACCGAAAGCTCCTCAGTCCCGACCTCCGACCGCCGTCATCTCTACACCTACGAGCACGGTCCACGACAGCGGCTGCACCCCCGACAACCCAGCAACAACGAGCTCCGCGCACAGCCACCGTCCACCCTGTTTCCGGCGACCACCCTCCGCTGCGACCCTCAGCCGGCGAGCTCAAATCTCCGAGCTCCGGTAACCACCCGGAGTCTTGTTCGGCGAATTCGAGCGCCAAGAGACCTTACTCTGTTCAGCCCGACCAATTTCGAAGACCACCTCGGCCCAATTTCGAAGACGAGCTTTGATCCCGACAAGCTGCCGCATATCCGCCCATAACTCAGATTTTCATATTCCGGTGATCGAGACGATTGTTTCTCTCAGCGATTCTAAGGTATAATGGCTAAATCCCGATTTATTCATTTCGCTTGGAGTTGATTTGGCGTTGGGAATTGTTGTGTTGATTGACGTGGAATTGAATTGGAGAATTGGAGATTGGGGCTGTAATAATTTGTTGTCAATTGTGTATTGGATATCGTTGTTATGTGGTGGGGACACGTTTTGCCGGACGTGTCGAAATTTCTTTAGGTACGCTCTCGGCTTGTGGTTTTCCGCCGGGTTCTTATTCGAATCATGCCTCCGAAGAAGACAAAAGCGCCTACAAAAAAAGAAGCAAGCCGCCCCTAAACGCAAACGGGGTAAGGCTAACGAGGGCACATCGAGTGCCCCATTGGAGGATGAAACGGAACTTGTATTAATGAACGACTCGGACCCCAAAGGCCTCAGGCCTCAGAACTTTGTTGCTGCGGAAGTTAATGAAATCACCGACCCTTTTCTAGTTCTCGGTCCCCGGTATGTTGATTACGACGTCCTCTCGGATCTTAAACTTCTTGCTCGGTTCAAACGGCATGTGACGAATCTTAACTTGTTGAAATATGTATTCGTTCGAGCCGATGCTTACGTGACACTTTGTTGGGAGTTCTACACCACATTCAAACTTGAAGAGAAGTATACTATTGTACGATGCCGATTGAATAACAAGCCGGTAGAAATTACTTTCAAGTTAATGAATGAGCTTTTTGGGTTCTCTTTCGAAGGGCCAACTTCCGTGCCGAAAGAGTTTGATACGGCGGCCGCTTGGTTGGAGATATCGGGCTTTCCATATTTGAAGTTCTTGGATTTTTTCACTGGGCATATCAGAGATCCTGCCCTAGCGGTCATCCACAAGTTCTTGTGCTACAACGTCTATGGCAAGAAGAGTGGCCAAAAGGTAAGTTCGGATGATATATTTGTTCTTTGGTGTGCCTTGCATAGCAAACCGGTGAATTTATGTGGTTTCATTTGGAGGAAAATGGCCCAAGTTGTCAACGTCAAGCGCTTCAAGCCCGTATTTGGCCACTTGATTACGGTTCTCGGTGCTTATTTCGATGTCCCATTAGTAGGGGAGGTAGTAAAAGCACGGCCTGTAACGGCACGTGAGTTAATCCACGCGGAACTTGCTTCTAATCGCTACGATTTCAAACCACATCACGACCGGAAATGCGTTAAAGCTTATATCGAACGGATGGAAGTCTACCAAAAGGGCCAAGTTGCTACAAATGCCGAACAAATTGACCATGAAGTACTCATCTCCTCCGAACACCAACCAGAAGCAACCGAGCACCAAGAGCCGATCACCGAGAAATCGACCGATGTCCTCGAGGGCCAACCAAATTCTGGAGAGACACCTCATCCGGAGGAGCCCCTCGGCACTGCCTCAACAACTCCATGTCCACCACCCCCGACCGGCCCTTCCACGACCACCGATTATGGCAATCAACCGTGGGCCGCAATAGCCACTCAATTGGCGAGCCTTGATCTCCGTATGATGGCTCGCTTAGATGGGATGTGGAGGCATATGCGCTCAATGGACAACCGGTTGGACGGGGTGTGCACCGAGATTACTACCATTCGGGACCATATTGCATCCTTGGACGTACGCCTCCAACAATATGTGCAAGAAAGGGCCGTCGGGCCAAGTTCTTCCAATCCATCAGACGAGACGTCAATGGATACACGGTGATTATTCACCGTGTTGAGTACGCACTCTCTTTTTCTTTATTTCCTTTTTCTCTTTGTTTTCTTCCTATATGTCTATGTGTTTTGTTTCTTTTCTCTTCTTGCTATGTGTTTTAGTCGCTTCTCTTTTCCTTCTTTTTATTATTGTTCCATGTTTGAATGTGTACAATTATTTGTTCCTTTCGTATACTTGTTGGTTAAGCAATGAGGTCATTGCTTTGTCTTAAGTGTGGGGGAGGATTTTTAGTGATTGTACATGTTTAGGCGCTTGTCGTGTCGTGGACCGGTTTTGTTTTTGTTTTGTGTGTTTTGTCAATTCCCCGTCATGATGCTCAATGTGCGTTTAAAAGCTCAAAATGGTTAAGTGGTGAGATAAGTCTGTTGATTGGCGTCATTGTTAACTTTTATGCTTTAATGAACTTGATGATTTGGATGGTACCCTTGAATTGGACGATGTTTGATTAATGTGGGAACTCATGTGAATTCACGGAATTGTTTTGTCCCTTGTTGTTCTCGATTGATTGACTTGAGATATGCTTACCTTATGTTCGATATCATTGTAAACGTGTTATGCTATTCATGTGTAGTGCATCTTGATCGATCATGTGTTTGTAATTACATTGATGATGTACTTTTGTTGTGCCTCTCCAAAAAAAAATAAAAAAAAAAGGAATAAATGTGAGATCGCGAGGAGGTACGGACTAGGCTCCTCTTATTCCGAACCACCTCGTGGAATGGGATAATGAGCCCGGGAAATCGGTTTAGGGAACTCGAGTGGACCAATCGTGGTTAAATCTAAATACGCATTGTCTAGGAAACCTCGTTCGGAAAAGAAGCTCACAATAAAATATATATATATATATATATTAAATAAAAAAAAAACAAAAGCAAACAACAAAAGAAGGGGAGTTGGCTTATTGATGCAAGCTTATCATACTTTTACATTTTTAGTGGACGACATTTAGCCTTTTTGCACGTGTATGTAGAAACAAAAAAGGAAGCTTAAATCGAGAAAATCATGTGTAGGATGACTTGGGATGAGTTTTTGTTTGCATGGATTCACATTGTGAGGGACATGTTTTCAAATTTGAGTTTGATTCAATGAATTACCAGATGAAAAGGAGAGTCTCATTTTCACATGACTGTTAATTTTGGACCATTCAATATTTCTTTTCGAGTTGTTTGCTATTTTGTTTGCTTGAGGACAAGCAAAGAGCTAAGTGTGGGGGAGTTGTTTGTTATGTTTTTGGTGTGTTTTTTGTGCATTTTTATTTGCTTGAGTCGAGTATTTTTATGTTCCGTTTGTGTGTCCCGATCCATTTTTTGTTCGTTTTTAGTCGTTTTTCGTTCTTGAGTTGTTTTTGTATTTCGGCGTATTTTTCTTGTCTCTTTGGTGTTGACTAGGTCCAAATTGTTCGTGTTTGGAAAGACGAGCCATTCCGAGGATATTTATTAATTGCATGGTTGTGTCTATTTGCGCATCTCAAGACGACGAGAAAAGATTTGAGGAGCGTGTGTCAAAGTTTCAAGTCAATCGGATAAGCGTGCGAGAAGTTAGAGCTAATCGAGCCTCAAGAACCAAATTCGAGCCTGCGAAAATGTGGCCTATCCTGCGAATCACTGCTATCCTGCGAGTTCGGATTGTGCATGGACAGAGATCAAATTCGAGCCTGCGAAAATGTGGCCTATCCTGCGAATCACTGCTATCCTGCGAGTTTTTGTTATGTGTGTGAAATTAGGGTGTGATTTGTCTTATGTATAAATAGGGTGTGATGTTTTGTATTGTAGCACACCAAGCTTCATTTTTCTTGTTTTCCTTCTTGGATTTGAGCTTAAAACCTGGGAAGCTTCATTTTTCTCATTTTGCATTCTCTTGGACTATAGCTTAAGACTTGGATGTTTGTACTTAGATTTCTCCGACGACATTTTCCGGTGAGTCGTCTTATTATGCAATTTGTGTTTTGTCTTTGTCATTTTTCGCTCAAGCACGCATTAGGGACGTAAGTACTTAGTATTAAGGCTTACTATCTCGATTTTGCACCTATTATACTATCTTGCTCGTAGAAGTGAACTAGGGCTTGCTCGATTTATGGTTATTTTGCTCGTTTTAGTTTATTTTTCCTTTCTTATCCATTGTGAACTTGTTTATCGTGCTTTGAGATTGTTGAAGTTCGAATACTTACAAGAAGGGTCGTGACTTTGGTATTGAGCTCGATTATTTCATAGTAAATGTTCGACTTTAGCTCGTAAGTGCATAGATAGAGTTCGTTTCCCTTATTTTATTTTATATGCTCAATGTTAAACGATCTGGTTTTGGGAGCTAGGACTTTTAATTCTAATTGCTTGCTTAGTTTATCATTCGCATGTTTCTTTAGTTAATTTGGTTAATCTAGTTCGAACCCATCAACATATTGATTAGAATGTTTAGGAATTATTTTTATCTTTGTGTGTTTTGGACAATTTAAATAGCAAACGACGCTCCGAATAGCCTTCCTTAGAGAACGACTCGAGGTCGGGTAACTCGGTTATTATCTACCCACACAAAATACTACTAAACATATGGCCGTGCCCTTGTGAGGTACGTAAGCCCATATGGAAGGCCGTGTCCGTTACAGTGGCACGTACTCCCGCCTTGGGGTAATTAATCCCCGTTCTGCGGCTAGCGATAGATGTGCACAGGAGGAAGGTTAAATGCTGTGATTTTGATTAGGAGATGAGACATGTTGTGATTATTGTTTATGTTCATGCTGCGACCATACCATTGTTATGTTATTCATATGCATAGTGTGAGTACGATATTTAACTGTACTCACTCCCACCTGCTCTTCACGGATGCAGGTTAAACAGTTGGCGGGTGACGAGGCAAGACGAGTGGGTGGTCTTGCTTTTGTTTAAGACTGATATTTACTTCTGCATTTATGAACTTGTTATGGTTTATTTGATTATGTTTGAACTAGTTTGATTTTGGATAAGGGTTGGACGGATTTGAATACTTGGGTTTTATGCTGTTATTTATTGTTATTTTGAATCATGATAAATGTGTAGGTTCATTCTGATCTTCTTGTGTGTTGGATAAATTGCTCTTGGTAAAATAAGTAGCGCCCTTTGAATTTTAAACTTAATCGAGATTTTGAAAAATTAACTCTGATTTTCATTAAATAAATTTGATAAATCTTTTAAAATTAAGTGGGGCGTTACACCAGTAGACTAAGGAAGCAAACATTAATTCACTCTTAGATCGAGTCATTTAGACTCGGGGGACTAGATGATATGGAATATTATATACCTAAGGGATAAACCGGTTTGCCATGCCGGTTATACGAGTCTACTATCGAAAATACCACACTGGTCGAGCAATAGTAGAATGAAAGGAAGTGGTCGAACACTGTGGTAGATCTGGTCGAAGATCGACCTACTGAATGAGGGCTCATAAGATCGACCACCCCGCGTGTGACGAGAAACCAGGAGTGTGACCTATACGTAAGGAAGCACGTGGCTTTCTAGGAAATTTCCAAGGAATATTCAGGGGAATAATTACTCCATGTGCAGAGGACACGTGGCGAGAATATATTGGTGCAGAGTGATAGTGGCGATAACCACCTCTGACACACACACACTGTGTGTGTACGGACGGGCAAGATCCGGGCAGCATTGGGCAGACAGCTCACCAAATTCGGGCAGCTCCTAGGGCAGCTATCTCACTCCTATATATATAGGAGTGAGCTTTTCTTGTTACACACGATTTATCCATTTTTACTCTTGAGAATTGAGTGAAACACATATTGACTTAAGCATCGGAGGTTCTTCACCGGAAAACCCCTTCGGTGTGAGAGTTCTTTGCAGATACGACGCGGCGTTCTACCGGCAAGGAGGAGGAAGATGAGCCGATTTCAAGCCGGTCAGAGTGTTTTGCATTACCAGAAGTCACAAAGTCACAACAGTCGATAAAACCTTCATGGAAAAACAAGTCGAAGTTTGAGGGGGCTTATTCCCCTTTTTTTAGTTATAGATAGCTATACGCGGCTCTTTCATGAGTCACAAATCGAAAAGAATTGAAGATATTGACTTGTGGCAATGACCATTCTTATAATAAGAATATTATGAATGTGTATATAAAATAATATTTAGACTTGGTTTCTTAATTATTTTCATTGATTCTAACATATTCATTTTGAATTAGTACGTGTATAGTATATATATATATATATAGAAAGGATCGTATGAGAATGACTCTTAATGCGAGAAATGAGAATAAGTCTAGACCATGCGATCAAGCATATCAATGGTTATAATGAAGTCAAACTAGGTCAATCATTAATGGCACTTTAGTAATTATTTGATCATATTGTGGTCAAATATATGTATTTGATCAATAATTAAGGGTAAGTTGGTCCATACTCATTTATTATGTGGGACCCACTCACTAATTAAATATCTAATATTTCTTTTCATCTACCTCCCCCACAAATCGGTTCTGCAAACACACACACACACACCTGCCGCCGCCGCTGATCCACTGTCCGCCGCCAGCCATCAGCGCACTTCCCGCCACAACCCGAAATCGTACAAGACCATCGTTGCCGGAACCACAAACCCTCATAACCAACATCTCCGCCCCATCTGCAACCTGCCCCGGCAGCTCCTCCGCCAACAGCCCCGCTTCCGTAAAAAATTGTCTACTCCGTCGTCACTGAACAATCAACAATCAACAGAGGTGGTGGACGTCGACCACAAATTTCACCCTCCATCCGTCCACAGACTTGCCTCCGCCACAAATTTCACCTTCCGCCGTCGCACGCCCTCTTTCCCGCCGTCCGATTCGCTGATGGACGGAGACGAAGATACGTGCTTGCTGACGGAGATGAGGCGTCGAGACGGCTGAGACGAGGCGGCGAACAAGCTTATGTTTCCTGTTCTTTTTCTTTTTCTCTTTTTGTGATGAAGTTGTCGGGATGCTACCGGCGGGAGATGGCGGCGTTGGGTGGTGGGATAAGAAGACGCGGTGGGTGACCATATCGGAGGCGTCTGGACGGGTGGCCGGAGGTGGACGGTGGGTGGATTTGATTTGGAATTGTGGGGTTAATTAGTGGCAATTGGATATATTATATGGGCTCAATTGTAATTTTTGAGTTTTAATTTATTTAATTGGGACACTTGAGGCAAATCTGTAATATACTAAAAGTTTAATTAATGCATTATAATGTTACATAAATTGCACATAAATATGTGATAAAGTGCACATTAAAAATACCACCATATATATATATATATATAATTTTTTTTTACGAAATAATAAACTTCCCAATAATGTGCATTCCGATTGTCGTTAATGTGCAATTTGTTTAATAATATTGTACACCCGCACAACAAGAATTTTTTTTAATGATTTGTTACAAAACAAACAAAAGTTGAATCAAAATATTTGGGTTATTTGATCCATTAGCCAATTATTTTAGTTAATTTTTCAGTTAACCAGAATAACTGAATAATTTATTGTTTATATTATAAAAAAATATATTTTAGTGTTTTAATATTTATATTTCATATTTTATATTATTTATGGTTGAAAAATACCTAGAATATATATATATATATATATATATAATTATATAAAATAAAATACTATTTTTTATTTAATTTGGTCGTTTCAGTTATTTAAAAAAATTAAAGCCGACATCGAATCAAAATAATCAAAATTTTAAAATAAACGCGGATAACAAAATCAAAATATAAAATTCGAACAAACATATTTATTTCAGTTGATATAGTGCAATATGATAACCAATAATGTGCAATCCGTTTAACACTAACGTGCATTCGAAGTGCAAATACTTTATATAACAATATATTTAGTATTTAGAGTTTTTCATTTTATATTATTAGTTGCTCGAAATAAGTAATATATATAGGTAAAATATAAATATAAAATTTTATTTAGTTTGGTCGGTTGTGTTGTTATTATTATTAAAGCCATTATTATTATTATTATTATTATTATTATTATTATTATTATTATTATTATTATTATTATTAAAGCCAAATCCGACCGAAATAACCAAAAATTGAACATATGGAAATACTAATAATTTTATTTATTATTTTTACATTATTTTAGGTTGACAGAATTTTGAGTTTGGCCGATTTCGATTCTTGTTGTGCAATTTGATAGTGTTTAAAGTGCGACGTGTTGTTTTGTAAAGTGCAACGCGTTGTTTTATAAAGTGCAACATACTAGTGTATAAAGTGAATTACCGTGATTTTGGTCGTTGACATGGTCGTGTTTTGTGTGGATAAACTATTTGATTGATATTAAAGTATTGTGTATATCCGTTTTTTAGATTTATATTGTATGGTATTTTGGCGGGACATGGTTCACTTTAATTATAGAGCGTGACGATAAAGTGCAACGTGTTGTTTTATAAAGTGCAATGTGTTGTTTTATAAAGTGCAAGTCGATGATATGTAGAGTGCACTAATTTATATGATCACGTATAAATTATGTGTTTTTGAAATCTATAATTAGTAGATATAATTTACATTGAAACAACCTAAATAGTTTAAATAAATTATTATTTATTATTATAAAATTATATTTATTATTTTAATATTTTTATATATTACAATTTTACATATTAAAAATTTTATACATTATTCTACTTTATTTATTTAATTTCTCTGTAAATAAAGTCGAAACCAGACCAAGAATAAATAGCATTTTAATGTGTTTGAAAACCCACAATGTCATATTAGTGTTTTTTTTTTTCCCTTTTGTTTGTCACGTGATGTTATTGTGCGATATACACTTATACCGGTATTATAATGTGCATTCTCGAATACGTTAACGTGCATTTGGTTCAACACTGTTGTGCAAGTGGTATTCACTAATGTGCATAATTATGATACTATTTCGCATTATGCATTGTGATTTTTCATATTATTGAGTTACTTGGTTGGTTAATCGAATTAATCTAAATAATTGTACTAATTTACAATTTATAATATAAAAATATATTTAGTTTTTAAATATTTTTATTTAATATCCTTATATAATATTTGGATGAAAACTCCATTTATATAATATATATATATATATATATGCATAAAAAATAAAAATACAAAATAATACACTTTATTTTTTTTGTAAATTACAAATTGATCGAGAAACTCAATTGCAATATATTAAAATTTCTGAAATTTGCAATTAAGTCATTAGAACATATCAAATTTTCAAATGATGCCCCTGGATACAAATTCCAATTTCCGTCGCCTTATTCCCGTCAATCGGCTCTTGACTTCCAGCCCTCCGTCGCTACCAGCGAGATTCTCCCTCATCCTCACGCAGCCCATGCATGGATCGACGAGTTTCAGCTTGAAGGTCGTTTTTCCTGCGACTTTTAGCCTTTTTTTTTTAGTTCCGCCATTGAAGCTCGACCTTCGAGATTGAAGGTCGATTTTTTCTGGCACCGTTGCACCTCAATCGATTTATTCCGGCACCGTTGAAGGTCGATTTTCAAATGAGGTGGAGTAAGGATGACGATGACGACGACGGCCGATTGCCGGTGAGTCAGAGGTTGGCAGTGGAGAATGATGTCGGTGAAGTACCTGGTGGCGTGCGGTGGCGCCTAGGCCGTCTGTCAGACCCGATGCCGGCGATAGTCGAGGCGGCGGTGAAGTGAGCCAGCGAGAATCGGCGCTTCTCGGTTGAGGAGGGCGGTGGCGGCTGAGGATGACGGTGGCTGACTGTCTGGAGGTCGCTGGCGGCGCATGGCGGGCGCCGGTGACTGGTAATCGGCGGATCTGTGTCGCCGTTTGTTTGTTGTGTGTGTATGTGTGTGTCTGTGTGTGTATGTGTGTGTGAGAGAATAGAGCGTTGGGTGGGGGGTGGGTGAGAGAGGGGTGGGGCCGCTGTGGTGAATGTGTGTGTGAGTTGGGTGAGTAAATACGTGTTGGTGGGTATGGGGTCCACTAGAAATATGTTAAAATATCCGAAATACCCTTAATGAAGGTATAAGTCTAGTCTTTTTATCAATCGTTAGATTGTTCGATCTAATGGCTGTAATTCATTCTCATTTCCTTCATTAAGCATCATTCTCATGTGAGCGTGATCCTATATATATATATATATATATATATAAATATATATATATATATTTATATGTATATATATATATAGTTTATTTAATTATATCTAACTTATGATTGTTACTTATGGTTAATTTTTTATTTGCTTTCTTCTTCTAGTTATTCGAATTCCCCGCATAAGCAAACATTAATTAATAATTAAATCTCAAGAACGTATGAAAGAAGCTCATTTATTAATGATGCAATTTTTCAATAAGTACAAATATATTCAAATCATGGTTATGGTTGGAAATCCTTGTCACGGCATTTACTTTGTACCAATGCTTTTGCCTTTTTATATTTCTATATGCAATATTTAAATCCCCACCTTTACTAAGTAAAACATCCTTAATTTTCTCACGAATGTATCCACATCATATAGCTGTCAACTTACTTGACATACTTAAATCTTTGGAGACCACCACCCATCAAATTCATTGGCATTTGACACCCCACTCTAGTAGTATAACATTTGTGCTGTTGCTCACAGAGTGTTTCACGTACTTATAAAAATGAAACAAAAACTAACTTTTCACCTTTTTTTTTTTTTTTTTTNTTTTTTTTTTTTTTTATTTTTGCTTTAAAGGATAGAAGAACTCAATAAGTAAGCGGACATTTTGAATACAACAAGGGAAGAGTCGGAAGACCCCAACGCCTGAACAACTAAAGGGCAACATACACAGATGCAACCTAGAAACGAAACAAACTAGCAACCAAAGCCAAAAAGAATGAAGGCAGCAACAACCGGTTGAGTCCTCAACACCTAATACTAGACAGAAGCAGCAAAAAGTAATCACATCGAAGAAAACTAGAAATAGAAATTCACAACTGACATAAGACCTAGGAATTCATATAACTAGCAAGGAGCAGACCAGTCCTTAAGTCCTTCTTTGAAGTCATTCCAACCTTTATCGCTGACTTGATGATCAGGTGCTCCAGCTTCAAGATCGCCTCGAAAATCCATAAATTATGTGCCTTCTACAACCATCACAAGATGTAGGTGGAAAGCTTGATCCTGTCTACATAGGTATCCTTATCATGAAGCTGAGCCACCACCATCACTCTTTAAACTTGAGCTGCTCTGAATGGTTGAACTCCCAATGCACTGGGGCTAACATCCAAGTTCTTTGAGCTCTCGAACATTTAAATAAAATATGCACTGAGTTTCCTCAGCTTCTCCACAACCCCTAGAGATAAAATCAATATAAATGCCTTTCTTTTGCAAGTTAATTCCAACACGTAAGATACCTATAAAGCATTTCCAAATGAAATACTTTACTTCACCCATCACCCTGAGTTCCTAGCTATACTGTTCTCTTGGGACTCAGAAAGAACGTCGGATTTATGCCAGTCACGGACTATTTACGAATTAAAACCTAAGTGCAGCAGAACTAGTAGCTTGGGTTCAATTCGTAAATTTTGAAAAAAAATTGGACTCTGAGACGTTTATAATTTCCGTTGATGGAGATCGTTTGAACCACTCGTCAATGTTTGTCTCGTTGTGGTTGTATCGTCACGCTTCTTGGTGTCCGGATTGTGTCTCGCATCGCCTTGGGCTCCGTACCATGTTCCTGGCAGATCAGGCTCGCCTAAGGGTCTCCGAAATGTTGTCGGACCGCTGGTGGTCGCCGGAACTCGGTGGTGGTCGTCGGTGCTCGCTTGTGCATGCTGCCGTGCGGGAATATGATCTGGTGCATGTGACTCGTGCACTGGGCCTGTTGTCTGCTTGGTGTCGCATGGATGCTTAGGTGTTGCGTGCCTCACTGTCTGCGTCTATTGCTGAGACTATTGTGTGGTGTGCGAGTATCGTGCGTGAGATCTGGGGTGCCACCGAGAGTCTCATGGACGACTCATGTACGCTCCGTGACTGCGCATCCTGCCCACTCGCTGCACGCCCGTCTACGCGCTGCGCGCCCTCCTATGCGACGCACGCACCGCCTGCGCGTGACAATGTGAGGCAGCGCTTGTGCCTGTACGCGGTTGGCCCTGTGCACAGGCATCTTCGAGACTGCGCGCGGCTGTGCCTAGCTGCATGCGGCTGTGACTGAAAGGTCTGCGGATAGGTGTGCGGTTGGTCCCACCAAGATCGACGCTGGTCGCCAAACTTTTGGGAACTTCGTTAGTCGTTTCCGGATGATCGCTGATGGCTACGAGGCTATTGAACTTAAATTAACGGGATTGAGTATATATTTTATCAACCTCAAATTACCTCATATCTTCTCCGTTCGTCTTGGTGGGTGACAATCTAGGTGATATCTCTACTGAGATTTCTAAGAGAAGAAGAGAGAATTGGCTATAACATGTGAATATGCGTGTCCCAACTCTCAATCTCATCTAAAGCACTTAAACCTAATCCCAAGAGATGTCATGTATTTTTAGGCTATAACAGGGACCATAATGAGGCGTTAAATTGGGCTCCCCGTGTATGGGCCTAACTGAGGGCTGAGCCCACTCTGCTTATATAGGAATAATACAGTCATTCAACTAAAGTATTATTATTACAACTCCCAATTTAATCATCAAATTACATTTGAGGCTCCAATAATAAATATCTTATTTACATCTTCATGTTTAATTTATAAGGTCAGTCAATTAATTACATTATTTACAATCAAATTAATCAACATCTTGAACCGAGAGTAGTACCACTCAAATCTTTATTATAATGTAAGAATAAATTTCACTAGCCAAATTTCATGAGCTCATCTCAGGAACATCATAAGACTATCGCACACAGTGACCGTAAATATTCGAACAACACACCGTACACACAATACTACTACCCAAAACACAAATACTATTGAGCCGACTGAATGGATCTCGCTTTTGGTGAGTCAAAGTAGCAGCTATTATATGCATGTGTCTATTTATATCATACAAGTTAAGTAGTAATTAACCGAGGCCTAGTTTACGACAATCAGTATACAACAAACTTCCCCTCTCTGGGATCCGATCAATGTACATAGTTCACTATGCAACTAATTAACCAATACAAACTGTACGATTAACACTACAACTGTTCATGATGGGTTGATCATTTCCATCTAGGTTGTGAACCAAACATTCATGTTTTACAAGTAACTGATATGTGATCTTTTATCTCATCTGTGATGGACCACAATACCTAAATGTAAAACATTAGAAAGTAGAATGTTTAATTCAACATAATTTTCATTCAAACGGGAGTAGTGAAAATAACATCAAAATCCAAGCTTTTAGTATATACACTAACAATCTCCTACTTATTCTTAAAACTTTCGCTTTTACCAGTATATTTCTTTCAACGTCTATTCTCAAAGAACTATTGTTCTAACTACCATACACCTAACTCTCCATTTGTTTATCATGGCCATCATTAGCTTACGCTATAAAGCAATTCTAAAAGGATCTTCCTGGTCGTCTTCTGACGTAACTAGGTGGCAAACCTTCACCACTTTGCGATTTATGCCAACTTCAACTGATTCCACTTGAGCAATTTTCCATACTGAAATAGAGACTTTCATTGAGACTTGAACATCATACTTACCTAAAGAGAGAATTCGTACCACCCCAAAAACAAAAGAATAAGACAACTATCCCTTGGAACTCGTCAACTCGGAAACTTCCCCCCGTGGGATGATGTTCCGGGTGTGCATGCAGGCCTAGTCCCAGTAGCCCAGAGGAGGACGCCCGCTCGACCCAGTTGGGTACTACTGAGCACCCGGCCCCGGGATTGGTTCGGCTTCCCCGGAGACAGGGTCGAAGCACGCTTGGAGATCAGTGAAGCTTTCAATCAGAAGTAGACCAAGGTGATTTGCTTGCTGGCTTTGTTCCCGTTCTTTCTTTCCTAACCTTGCACTGGGTCGTACTCGCTCTATCCACTCACTTTCCTTATGAACTTGTGATTCATTTCTGTTTGCAACTGCACCAACTGTCATCACAAAAATACTGTGATCTGACTTAAGCAAACCAGGATTTCACATTCCTAGTCCAACAGAGGTTCCTGGAGTCAAAAATCTTATATCGTTTGCTTTTCAACCTGTGACATACATGGTTTCCTTGGTGGATTATGTCAAGGAGTTACCGTTCAACATTCCTCAAAACTTTTGGATCCACCCCACAAGTAAACACAAACCCCGACATAGATTTTACTTATTTGGTCGGTATTCAATAATCTTATCCTCATGTCGGTCCATTCAATATATCTGAGATGAACTAGTGTAATTCATTAGTCAAAGATCAGCTAACTCAAAAATCATACAGTAGCCTTCCACGATAGTTAATTCAATTATATCAGAGTTGTGAATAAAGATTTATATTTTATAAGACACCGATAATATGGTATTTCTATTCAACACATAATCGAACCGTATTATCTACTATATAAATAAATGAACTATGTTTTATTACATAAATAAACTATAGCATATGCTTGAGTAAACACACGAACCTCATTCAAAATGGAATTTTGAGAAACACAAAAACGAGCTTCTACAGTACACTCCAACAAACCCTTTTTCCACAGTGACATTCAAGGGAGCACAAAATTAAAGATATTATTTGGCTTCAAAAGTGAAAGTTTTTTATAGAAATATTCTTATATAGTGCAACGCTTCAAGAACAAAGAATGTACAAAAGATCCAAAACGACATTTATTTTGGTTAATAGTTGATAAAGCCAGAATGATATTTAACAAAAAATAGGAGGTAGTAGTTAGTTATCCACATATTCCATCATGAGTTATCCACATATTATTGTTCTAATATTATCTCTACACCATTAATTTTGAATTGAAACCGTGATTTTCCGTCAAAAAAAAAAAATAAAAAAAAATACCATTATTGTTTTCAAGCTTTCTATAAATAGAATGTCAAAGGTATTATTTATTTGGTCAAAAGTTTCCAAAAACGATTTAACCAACAACTTTTTTATATATAGATAGATTTGTTAGTTTTTAAAAGATAACTCACTTTGTACGCCCGGTTCGGCGGTTCCCTTATGAGTTATGATTGTTTGGTAATTGGCGGTTTGGGCAAAAAAGCTAAATTAGCAGTTTTGACCAAATAAAACTGCTAACAGTTATGTTTGGTTAAGTGGCTTATTCGCTTGGCGGATTGGGGAAAAAAGCTAAAATCTGAAACGCTGAGAAGTGTAGCGTTTTGCATTCTTTAATTAGAGTATGCATTTTTTTATTGGTTAATTACGATTAAAACTTACCTAGACACTTACCTACATTGCTTACCAAATAATTTGTTTTTTAAAATAGCACTGAAGTAAAAGTAACATGTTTGCATTACAAAATCTAATTATTTTCAATTCATTTAGTATCAATTATTCAAATAAATTACAAACAAAAACGTAAAATTTGATTCATTATTGATAGATAATTATTTACCTTTTTTATTTTAACGAGTTACTCTCAATTTTATTTTAAAAATTTACAAAAAAATATAAATTATTTGTAGGTATTATAAAATTAAAAATATCAGATTGTATTTATAAATAATTTATTAAGGGCTAATTTTCAAACAGTTAGTTTTACCAAATCATTTTTATTTCGTGATGACTTATTATTGGTTGTTTATATATATGACGTGAACTTATTTACTCGATCAAGAAATATTTTTATTTTATTATTATTTATATTTTTATTATATTTAAATCACTAAATATTTAAATATTAATTATTTATATTTCCTAAATAATTATAAGTTCAACATAAATTAGAATGATAAAAAAGTATGTTGATGTCCTTATAAGTAATTTTACATGTTAACAGCTAATTAAAATAGCTAATTTACCAAACACTCTTTTACAAACCGCTAACACAATCAGCTGGTCAAAACAACTAACACAATCCACTGGTCAAAACAGCTAATGCAATGTGCTAACACCTACCAACTAACCGCTGATTACCAAACAAGACCGATATTTTCTTATTTATTCTATTCCTATGCTTATTTATTTATTTATTTAACATTCACTACCTCAAACTTTCCGTTTCCAAAAAATAAAAATCTAAGGTGAAAAAGCCAGCGTACGAATAGTAAGCTAATTTTTAGTTATATTATGCAGAAAGTTTTGGTGAAAGCGAAGTAAGGAAGTGAAGATGAAGAGTGCGACCCTTTTTTAAATTTATTTATTTCTTTTAATCTATCTTCTTTCTGCTCTCCTTTCGTTATCCTTTCTCCCTGGTTTCTTGTCCCATCCATCAAAACTCTAATTAAGATTCCTTTTTTTAGCAGATCAATTTCAAACATATATATCAAGCTCAAATATTCATTAAAAAAAAAAAGGAAAAAAACAACAGCAAGAGGAAAAAGGATATTTCCAGGCTTTGATTTATTTGTATGTTCAAGTGCCCAAACCTAACTTTCTTTAAGAGGTATGTACAAACTCGAAAAATTCTGAAAATCTACTCCAAAAAAAGAAGATGAAATAAATTTTCTCTCTATTTTATTCACTTAAAGAAAATTCCCACTTCACTTCACAAAGTCAACAATTTATTCTTCTCCCAAATTAGGCACCACCAATTTTATTTATATTAAAAAAAAAAAAAATAGGGAAAAATCATCCATGTCCGAAAGCTTCCGACAAGGCACGTATGGGTATTCGTATGAGGCCGATTTACCGGCATACAACCCAGACGAGATGCTGACTGAGGCCGCGAATCTTCCATGGCAAAAATCGAGCAACGAGTTTCCAAATCATCAGATCCAAACAAGCCCTTACACCAGGCTGCCTCAAAAAGTACTCCACCTCTCACCTGGACTGAATCAGTCCTCGGACGAAGTAAGTGTTACATAAGAGTTGTAATCATAAATAATAATAATCATATTAGAACGTAATCATAAGATTTTCATGCAATTTGTGCAATAATAATAATTACTAATCCGTCCTTAACCCCACCCTCATGGGGTGTTTGGAAAAAATAATAATAATAATAATAATTGCTAATCCGTATATTAATTTTTTGGCAGCTCAATTTCTTAAGTCCACAGATTACAGCTTCTGCTTCAAGCTCTAGGCTTAACATGGAGGCCCAAGCTCTTTCTCTCTCCTTGTCTTCTTCACTGAGAGCCGAAAAATTGGGAAAATTCGGCAATCTCGGGCAGGGTGAATATTACCAGGAAATGAGCAATTGCGATGATTCTCATGGATTGGGAGATTTTGGGATGAGTAATAATCCGCAGAGGGTTTTGGGGTTGGATTATGGGAGTCAGGGTTATTTCGGTCATTTCGAATCTGGAAACTGGCTGAGGAACTCGAGCTATTCGAGGGCAGCGCAGGAATTGTTGCAGGAGTTGTGCTGTGTTTGGAGAGGGGCGCAATTGGGAACTAATCCCAAGTTCAACAATCTTCAGGATAATGGAAACCCTAATCCATCCTCCTCAAAGGATCAAACGAACCCGTTATCCCCTTTTGAAAGGGCTGAGCTCAATAGAAGGAAAATTAAGCTCTTATCTTTGCTTGATGAGGTTTCTCTCTCCTCTCTCTCTCTCACTCTCGCTCACACACACACACATAGTCACATACACACTAATTAAGCTCCAACAAAAAAATTAACTAATTTATTTTTGTATAATTTTTCATTTTTTTGTCACCAAACTCAAACTCTANCATTAATTAAGTACATTGGTGCGAAATATTTACTAATATTCCTAACATGATTATTATTTTAGGGTACATTATTGATGCCCTTTATCATGACAGGCTACAGTTGAGGGTACATGTAGAAAAGAAGGAGGACATGACTGCTTTTAAGTTAGCTCAAGATTTAATAACAAGGGCTGCTACTTTAACTGAATATATATAGAAATATGATGATGGGATATATATCAGTTTCGATGCCCCTATATCCAATGGACAAATATAATTTTTCAAAAAACATTTATTCATGACTAATGTGTGTATACTTTTCAACATTTGACTAATTTGTTCCACAACTGTTTTGATTGTTTGGAAAAAATGTCACATTTCACTGTAAAAGATATATATATGTGGAAGAAACAAATAATTTTGATCATTTATTCCCATTGCATAAACATTTTTATTCTTTTTTTGCAGTAAAACTATTCTACAGTTTTCCAATTGGTGCCCATTAAAGGTTTAATTGCAAAATATCCTAGAAATTCGAATTTTCAATTCAAGAGATTGCCAACTTATTAGACTTCGATCTCATCATTATCTATCCATTATTAGTTAATCTTTATTCTGTGCAAATTTTTAAACAAATACTTAGTGGTGATTTATTGAAAGAAGTAATCTGAGATATATTCTGTAAGATGAACCTACCTATCTATATTTATATGACTATAAAACTTACTAATATTCTGTAAGATGATTACTTAGGTACTGAAACCCATAATTTGTGTTTGCTTTCCACATGCAATGAATGCATTATTAATAAAAGTCAGTGTTGTTGCAACTTTATTTGGACATTCTTTCTGCCGGAAAAGTTTGTCACATTGCAGGTTTCCAAGCACCTGTTCAGCTACCTAGTGGATACCTCGTGCTACACATCATATATATTCCAAGAATTTCATTTATTTATCATAAATATAAAAAAGGAAATTAAATAGTTATTCAACACTTTTTGCATTGAGGGAACATTGCATAACACTAAAAACAAGATTTCTTAAGTTCTTATAGTACTTGTGCGATGATAATATCACATCCATAATATAAAGTCATCATTGTTGTCATTTCATGTATAAGTTGCAACCAACTTTTATCACCAACAAAATATGCATACAATGTCTATAGCTTTTCCTCATGACAATAAATTAAAATGATAAAAAAAAAGGTTAAATTTCATTTTTAGTACCCAATGTTGATCATTTTCAAAAAAAGGTCTATCATATAGTATGTCACCAAGAATGGTCTACTAAGTTGACACTTTAACCAAAACTAGTACAATAGCCAACATAGTGTACTAAAAATGACAACTAAAAATAATCACTTTTAGTACATTATGTTGGTTATTGTACGAATTTTGATTAAAGTAACAACTTATGGACCATTTTTTATGATGCCCTATATGATGAACCTTTTTCAGAAAATGACCAACATAGTGGACCATTTTTGAAATTTTGTTTAATGCTCGTTGTATTAGGTGGACGTGCGATACTTGAAGTATTGCGAACAAATGCATGCTGTGGTGGGGTCGTTCGACTCAGTCCTGGGGCAAGGGGCGGCGACCCCCTACACTGGGCTTGCTCGGAAGGCCATGTCGAGGCACTTCAGATGGATGAAGGATGCTATAGCCAAGGAGCTGAGGGCGAGCTGCGAGGCTCTCGGGGAGAAAGATTTGAGTAATGGGTCGGTAGGGTTGACCAAAGGGGAAACTCCGAGACTCAAAATTCTCGAGCAAAAGTATAGGCGGCAAAAGACCCTTGAGCATCACGTGGGCATCATGGATCCCGAGTCGTGGAGGCCCCAGAGGGGATTGCCCGAGAGATCAGTCAACATCTTGAGGGCATGGCTATTCGAGCATTTCTTGCATCCGTACGTAATACTCTCTCTCTATATATTTATACAAATATATCTAAGTTCATGATTTAAAACAGTAATTAAATTGATCCGACCAGGGCAATGTCTTTTCATAGTTTGATCAGCACATACCCAAATAGTCCAAGTATGTGTAATCCAAACTTGCCCGTTATCAACTAGTCCAATTTAAGAAGTTATGTTTGGTAAAACTAGTTGATAGCTGATATATAATTTTCGAGCTTATCGTTTATAGCTTATAATTTATAGCTGAAAAACTAGCTTATATGATAAAAATGTTTGGTAAAATTAGCTGATAAGTTGGCTGAAATAAAAATTTCAACGAACTTATTTCAAAAGCTACTTAAAGAAGCTTATGAGATAAGCTCGAGTTTTTTTAAAAACCTTGTCCTACCAAACTATATTTATTTGAATACAGAAAGCTTATAAGCTAACTTATTTGGCTACCAAATATCGCTTAAGACTCGTCTATTGCAATGTATATGGCTCGCCTGGTGTGCAGACTTCATATTGCATATAGTTTAATCTGAAAATTTTACCAAATACATTTGTGCAACCCAACCCAAGAGCTAAGGGTAATGTTGAGTCCTCTCAATATCTTTAATCTTGCCATTAATTTGGTCATGGAAATTATTTTAAAATGTTCACTCATGCAAGTAATTTATATCACTTATCTTTTCCAATTATGATATCACTGGGAAAAAATTGACTATTATTATTAGCTTATCTTATTACGTATTCGAGTATCCATTCTTTTTTTAATTAAACGTTAATAATTATTCACATACAATAACCTCTTCACTTTCTTATATATCCTTTATCCAAAATCTCTATTAAAGTCAATATTCTTTTCCTTTTTTATTTTTCTTTAGTATTTACCCGCATTCTTAATTTGATTTACTTCTTCAATATTTGAAGCTACGTACCTTAAATTTTAGGATGTAGAACAAATCTATAATGGATTCGGACAGACAGGGATTTAGGGGGGCCTGGCCAAATGCCAGTCCTTCCACTACCCCAATATTATATTTTGTCTAAACAATAAAGGCTGGTTAGTCCTGTCTAAAGTTAGATGTTCATACTTTTTTAATAAATATATGTGTACCTTCAAATTAAATATCATATTATAAAAAATAACATGAATAAAAAATGATATTTAACAGTATAAGTATGCATTTTTATTGAAAGAAGTATGACGAGTCAATCCGTCCAATGGCTAGACAGCTAAATCTGTTTATAAATATATAATTATAATCCGTTCAAATATTGCGTATCTTTTATTTTTCCTTTATGTTACATAATCTTATCTTTATAGTAATAGTGATCATTATTTTTTTTATATGTATATATATGTGTTTGGTTTTTGCAATGATTGTACTAATTTTTCAAACACAAAGCTTTGAATTTTAAATATAAGATTCTCTGTTTTTCTTTGATAATAATGAGTGCAGGTACCCTAGTGAAGCAGACAAACATTTGCTGTCTCGACAGACTGGTTTATCCAAAAATCAGGTACGCATTATATGTATATCTTCTGCTATCAAGAATTCGATGTGTCATATCTTTTGATAGGGATATTTCATATTTCACCTTTGGTTTGCGTGAATTATTTATATATTCCTCCTTATACATGTGATGTGTGTGTGTATTTTGTGTTGTTGTAGCATTAATTCATGGTTACCATGCATAATATACGCTAGTTAATTCTTTGAATTCATGATTTTTGGTATTACCACACGATTTCCCGTCATTTATACTAACTATTCAATAATTTTCCAGCTAGACCACGCCCCATTATTTCTGCACTTGATGCTAATATATAACCCTCCGGAAAACAATAACAATGTTTGTGACGCTCTTGTTGTTAATTGTGGGATTTTTTGTTGCAAATATCATTTATTTTTTGGGTCAAAATTGCCTCTTTCTTGCCAATAGGTCAAACGTTGGAGAAATATTGCTGTTGAGATTGTTGCCGAATAATCTAATTTTACCTTTCACTAAGAATTAATTCGGCAAAATTTTAAAAATGGTCCACTATGTTGGTCATTTTTCAAAAAAAATCCATCATATAGGCGTCATCAAGAATGGTCCACTAAATTGCCAGTTTCATCAAAATCCATATAATAACCAACATATTGTACTGAAAGTGATCATTTTTCATTGCCACTTTTAGTACACTATGTCAGCTATTATACGAGTTTTGATTAAAGTAATAATTTAGTGGACCATTATTCTTGATGACGGCTTATATGATGGACATTTTTGAAAAATGACCATCATATTGTACTAAAAATGAAATTTACCCCTAAGAATTCCATCAAAAGTTATAACTTCAAAATATCTGTTAGAATATTTACTAGGGAATGACTACAGTCCCATGACGGTATGGTTTTATTCGTTTAATGTATTATTAATAGCCTATAGATACACTGAAATTATATATAAACTAAATGTAGTGCAGTGTAGATAATTTTTAAAAGGTGCACTACTCATAACTAACAACAGTTTATGGTATTGACAAATACCATAAATAATATAAATATCTATATTCTTAACAATTTTTGACAAGTAATTCTCTACAATTTATAAATAATATTTACTTTAGTGTTAATAGTTAAGATATGGGTCGACATGTAATACAAATAACTTCCTTAGAGAACATGAAACATGTCTATATAAAATATTAAAACCACACATATAAAAATAACTAAATTATTCTATATTTATTTTCAAAAATTAATTGTTTGAAATTGCCTTAAATTCACTAAAGTATTCTTAAAAAATTTGCCTCTAAGAAACCTAAATTAAATTGTTTTATGATAATATACTAAAATATTTTATATAAATCAAGTAATACAACTTTCATCAAATTTGTTTCAACCACATACAACATTTGTTTTGTTGTGCATGCATAGTATGAAATAATAAAGTGTTTATTTTTTACGATAACTATAAATAATTAAGTATTTTTTATAAGAAAATTATTTGTCCGAAAAGGTGCTATAAACAAACTAACGTATCACTGCTAGTTTATAATTTTTAATAATATGTATGGGCGAATTGAAAAAAATAATGGAGATATTTTTTAAAAAGATGTGTTCTAGTGATTTTAAATTAAATTCAATATATGTATTGATATATTTTTGATAAATTCGAAATCAACAATATATATATATATATATATATATATATATATGTATTTATTTAC